GGCAGGATAATCATAACAAATAAAATCTGGAGCTGTGGAATAAGTACTTCAATGCAGCAGCAATATACTTAAATCTGAGCTATCACCTGTATTAAGTAATAAAGTATTTCCTAAATGTGAAGACTACCGTTAGAACAGAGCTAACATTTGTAAACTGATTTTTCTAGTTTTGAAGACAAATTCATCCCAGAACAATTAAATTTACTTTCCTGACAGAGTAACAGGGATACAAATAAGAGAAAACCAACAGATGTAATCTCACATTATAATCAATATACAATTTCTTTTATCAAGACCTAAGAGACATGGTGCTTTGTCTAATTAAAATTTTGTTAGTTTAGGGTCATTATATAAAACTTATAAGAATAACCAGTTTTCAAATAACTTTAGTATTTAGCATTAACATTTATCTGTGTATCTTCAGCTACTAGTGCAGTACTTGATATTAAGCCCTCAGTAAATGATATTAAATGCTAAATGTAAGTAATTTTTTCCTGAATAGCCAGAATCATCAAAATATTAGGATTATTCTATCATTTTAAGTAGAATTACCATCTGCTAGCAGAGTAAAAAAAAAATGTGTTGATTCTATGTTGATTATATGATTTACTATTGAAACTTCATATTGAAATAAAATCTCTGGGCTTAAATTTGTTTGCAAATTCTTTTTTTACACATAATTATTATTTCTAAACACAGCTTTGCTCTTTTGTGACTTCAGTAGTATTCAATGCTGAATAAATATGGATTTATGATTTTTGTTTTTCAGAGAGAGGGTCACTTTAAAATCTGGAAATAATCATAGAACATTTCCCATGTTCTTGGCATTTTTCTTATCTCTAGTGAGACTCTGTAACATTTGAAAATATTATTCTTCATATCCTCCTGGGTGATAAAGGTTGAAGTAAAATGTATTTGATAAGTTCAGAAGAGTCATTTACCAAGTATCAAAATGTCCTCAAAACTCTTGTCCATTTTAGCAGCCTTCTAGGGAGGAAAGAAGAGCTGGCAAAAGGAAAAGCCAAATTTGGCTATAGCAGCTGCCTGAGGTTTAATCTCCAGAAATATGTGTCCAAAACTTCATTTACTTTCTTTGTACCTTTATGAGTTTTTTTCATGTTCTTTATCTACTATTTTCTTACTTTTTCTTAAAATTACCTCCCTTTGAACAATTCAATTCAATGTTCCAAAAGAAATGTTATGATACTACCACAAAAGTGGTATAGAAATAATTATGCAAATAAATACTGTGAAAAAGTAATTCAACTCTAGTAATTCTGTCTAGAGTGAATAGTGAGTTTTAGGACACGGTAAAAACAGGAAAATACCAAACGTGCATGTTCTAACTTAAAAACCAGAAGCAGATTAAAGATTTGAGTCAATGTTATTGAATTCCATGGGCATTTATGGCTAAAATTATCTCAAGTACCAGCAGTTGTACCCTATTATGCAAACTGGAAATATTGCTCTAGGTAAATCTTTTTTAAGGTCTCCAAATCAGTCATAAAGGATTTTGTAATGCACCAAATTACAGCTTTTCCATATGACAGAAAGTGAGTCCCATGCCATTTTTTCTTTTTCCTTTTTTTTACTTATATTAGCATGCCTTAAGAGCTATATTAACATGCTTTAAGAAGTAAAGTCAGAGCAGCCCAAAGTTCAGCATTTTTTAGGAACTGATAATATAGGTAGAAGCTAAGAGTCATTAGTTAGTTGATTAATAACCATTTAATGTCTGAAGTCCCTATGCAAAGAAAAAATTATATATATAAAAGGAAGTATAAGGCCTACAATAATCTAGGTAGATTCAAAGTCAATCTAAAGAAGATTTAGCACAGTATTTCAAAGGAATATAAACTTTACAGTTTAAAAAGTAATCCAAATCAAGTTTTTAAATGACAGTAAGTTGAACTGTATTTTTAAAGTCTCCAACTATACTAAGGAAAATGACAATGTAAAAATAGAGAAATTATTGCTCATTTATAGGATAAAGTTCAGAAGAAAAAATATAAAGTAAAAAACGAAAGAGCAAACAAAAATATAAAAATTTAGTAAAATAGTATAGGAATAAATGCATCAGGAAATGATGTAAAACTAAGGGAATCCTAAGTGGGAAATGAGTCATTAATATGCTACTTCATTTTAAAATCTTATTTGCAAATGGTACTATAGGGATGAGATCATGATATGTAAGTATTAAGAGATAACTATTGCTGTGTTTTTCAATAGTGGTTGGATTCTTATTATAGCATGAATTCAATTTTGATCCCTGAATTTTGTACAGCAGCAAAGCTGTCAAAGAGGAACTAATGTGGGTAAAGATGTAAATTGGATTCCAGGAGAAGGAAAGGAGTTGGAATGATTTGCTGTTTAATCTGAAGAAACAATGTCTCACACTAAATGTAATTTGAGCCAAATTTACACTTCTATATCATTTGCCTTTCTATCTTAATAATTTTAGCCTAAAATTTCTGTTTTGCTAGATGAAAAAAAAGTATTTATTTTCCTAATATTAAAGAGAAAATGAATAGGCAAATCTAGTTCATGAACAAAGTAACTCTCATGGAGACATATCAATGAATGTAAATTATAATTATAAGCTAAATCAATTAGTAAAATCTCTGTCATGAAAGTAACATGATACTTTCCATAATTACAGTGTATCACTTTTTTTTTTTTTTTTTTATGAGATGGAGTCTTGCTCTTGCTCGGCTCACTGCAACCTCTGTCTGGCTCCCAGGTTCAAGCGATTCTCCTGCCTCAGCTTCCTGAGTAACTGGGATTACAGGCACGAGACACCATGCCCGTCTAATTTTTTTACTTTTGGTAGAGATGGTGTTTCACCATGTTGGCCAGGCTGGTCTCACACTCCTGACCTCAAGTGATTCGCTCACCTCGACCTCTCAAAGTGCTGGGATTACAGGCATGAGCCACCGCACTTGGCCCAGTGTATCACTTTTTAATCATCTATATTGGAAGATTATGGAATAAATTGTATTGCTTATAACATTTATTGCTAGAATTATTAGTATAGTAAGACCAAAAAGGTAGTAATGCGTCATTCTCATTCTTTGGGTGCCAATCCTTCGATGGTAAATTAAAACTCTGAACTTTAAGATTTAATAGGCAAAATATCAAATTCTAAAATATATTTTGCTTCCTGAGGCAACTAAGTAATGAATCAATTAAACAAAGTAGGCCAGTATCAACAGTATCAGAACATTTACTATGAATACAGCTTAAGAGAAAAGAAATTACACCGCAATATAGAAAAATTTCTTTGATACAAGGTGTTCTGTTTCATATCAGCTGAATGTCAATCAAACTTGCATGTATTACAAACACTTGTAATAAATATATATGGGAGTTTATTAAGTATTAACTCTGACAAATTAAAAAACTTGAATGTACTAAAAATTTTAATTGATGACAGTTGCATTAGTTAGTTCTTGCTGAACAACAAATTATCCCTAAACATGAATCTTAACACTGAAACCATTTATTATCTCGTATTATCTTATTAACAGTTGCCACAGAGAAGTGATTTAAGAGCAGCTTTGAACAATTTTGGCTTAGATTCTCTAATGAGACACCTGTCAAATGTCAGCTGGGGTTACAATAAGCTGAAGGCTATATGAGTTTGAAAAATTCATTTGCAAGGTGGCTCACTCAATATTGCTGGCAAGTGGGTTCTGGCTGACAATGGAAGGCCTCAGTTTTTCTCTGATGCGTTTCTCTATAAGGCTGCCTGGCTGTTCTTACAACATGATGCTCGACATATTAGTCAGGGCTCTCTGAACAGACAGAACTAATGGAATATATATATGGGAGTTTATCAACTATTAACTTATACAGTCACAGGTCCCACAATAGGCCGGGGTGGTGGCTCATGCCCGTAATCCAGCACTTTGGGAGACTGAGGCGGGTGGATCACCTGAGGCCAGGAGTTTGAGACAGCCTGGCCAATATAGTGAAACCCATCTCTACCAAAAATACAAAAATTAGCCAGGCATGGTGGCAATTGCCTGTAATCCCAACGATTTGGGAGGCTGAGGCAGGAGAATAGCTCAAACTGGGAGACAGAGGTTGCAGTGAGCTGAGATTGTGCCACTGCACTGCAGCCTGGGTGACAAGAATGAGACTCTGTTTCAAAAAAAGAAAAAGGAAAAAAAAAAAAAAAAAGGCTCTACAGTAGGCCGTCTGCAGGCTGAGGAGCAAGAAGAGCCAGTAGCCAGTCGGAGTTCCAAAACTGAAGAACTTGGAGCCCGAGGGCAGCAAGCATCCAGCTCGGGAGAGAGATGTAGGCTGGGAGGCTAGGCCAGTCTTTCTTTTCACATTTTTCTGCCTGATTTTTATTCTAGCCTCACTGGCAGCAGATTACATTGTGCTCACCCAGATTAAGGGTGGGTCCACCTTCCCCTGCCCACGACTCAAATGTTAGTCTTCTTTGGCAACATCCTCACAGACACACCCAGGATCAGTAATTTGTATCCTTCAATCCAATCAAGTTGACACTCAGTATCACCATCACACCCGGCTTCCTCCTGGGAAAGTAGTCCAAAAGGCCAAGGTAGAAGCCATAATGTCTTTTACTATTGATCTCGGGAAGTTGCACATTACTTCTTTTGTATTCTGTTAGTCACACAGGTCAGCTCTAATTCAGTGTGGGAAGGGGTCACACCCAAAGGTGTGCATACCAGGAAGCAAGGATCACCAAAGGTTATCTTAAAGACTGGCTTGTGTGATACTTAAAATATCTTGGATTACTTTCAAAAACACAAAGTATTAAATTAAAAAAAAAATAAATATCAGCATCCTAGAATAAATTTCAATGTTTTATTCATAACTTGACTTTATCCACTCTAATTTCCCATTGCTCTCCATTAAGTGGAAAAATACTCCACAATATTTATAAAGTTAGAAAAGGAGAGGAGACATTATTTCTTATAAAGGATTGCAGTCTGCAAAGTGGTCATCCTCTCACCAAGACCAGAGACAGGCACCACAAAGGCAGAGGGGTTGGGGGTGGAACTTCATGCTGAACTTGTTGGCTGAACTACATATTCAACAGGTTGTGAAAGAAAAATAAATCTCAGGACCCCAAATTACTAAGCCTAAGGGAGAAGTCAAGCTGGGAACTATGTCAGGCAAACCTGCCTTCCATTCTGTTACTAAATAAGACAGGTACAAAGATAAGAAGCTACAAACCTCCCTCACAATTTTCCCACAAGGAAATTCCTTGTGGACAAAGGACAGTTAGAACTCAAAGTCATCTCTTTGAGGCTCACCTGTGACAAATATAAATCAGATTGCTTCCTCTGCCCTATGGTTTATGTAAAAATGCAGATTCACTGAGCCAGACTAAATTGTGTATTCAGTGGAAGGCTGATCAAAAGAATGCAACCTTTTGTCTCTTAACTACTTCCAATCTGAAAGCCCCCACTTGGAGTTGCCCTGACTTACCCAGCTGAACCAATGCATGAGATTGATGTCTCATGTCTCCCTAAAATGTATAAATGCAAGCTGTGCTCTGACCACCTTGGGCACATGTTGTCAGGTTTCCTGAGGCTGTGTCACAAGTGGGTCCTTAACCTTGGCAAAATAAACTTTCTAAATTGACAGACCTGTCTCAGAAATTTTGGGTTAACCAGGTTGGAGGAGGAGCTACAAATATTTATGAAGCTGGTCCTGACACATGCCTATTGAACAAACATATATGTACATATGACCCATGTTCAACTTGGGGTGAGACGTAACATTTAAATGTGTTATAATTAGGTTCTATACATTAAATGGTCTTCAGGACATAAAGACATGCAAGTGCACAGCATCTATAAACTGGTCAGTCGGTGCATGGTCAGTGGTCCTCTTATCTGGAGAAAATTCCTGAAATCAGTCTCTTACCAACCAAAGCTGTAGTTATGGCTGGTGAAACAGGGGTTCAGTTAGTCAGTGTCTGTGAGCTGGATGAGTTTTAATTGCTTTATATTGTTTATCTTGAAGCCAGCGCTTGCTTAGCTGCTGGAGTAAAAATAAAATCTTGTGACAGTTAGAACACAGTTTTTTTTTAAGTGTGCAGGTGCATGACATAACCCTCGCCTGCCATGGCCTTAGGTCCTGTTTATAATTTGATACCTTATTGCCACAAAATGTCTGTTCTGTCAGTCTTATAATTGCTATTTTATAATAGCAATCATATTGTGGTCAATTGTGTCTAAAGACTCCAAAAAGAAAGGGGCTATAATTAGATGTATCTGAGCTCCCATCCTATCCTGGGCAGGAACTCGGTTTTAAGGTCTTTTCTGGGGTTCCTTTGGCTAGAGGGGATCTGTTGAGTTGGTTGAGGTGCTTAAAATTTTATTTTTAGTTTACGTCTCCAATAGAGTTTTCTTAATATCCCTTAAATATGGCATTTTTTTCTACTCTGTAGCTATGATCATGTTGTTCTCCCTCTAATAAGATTCCTAGAGAACAATATTTTTTCTTTCTTTAAAGCTCCAGTTGTATCACCTTCATGAAACCTTGTTTATTAGTCCTATCTACAATAACTATCCATCCTTTCCCCAGAATTCTATACGTAACAATTCTTATGCCCTACAATGAAACATTTAATGAATCTTTTACATTTGTTTAAACACAGACAGTTGCTGAATGCCTACATGGACTAGGGCTGTGCTAGGCGATTATGTAAACATTAATTATTTATTTTCCTTATCAGTTCAAATAATTCACTTATATATCTTATATTTGTTAAACTACTATTTAGTATTTTTGCAGGAATATTCTTAGAGTTATTAGTTGTAATGTTTTTAAAAATATTCTCAAGTGTACATTTTATTTGCAGAAAAGATTTTCCAGAGGTTAATCAGGCTTTGAAAGTTACTGTTCAATTTTTTTTTTACAGGTACAGAATAAAATAATCTACTTGCTTTGTAAGGTTTTAAGTTTAATTTACAAATGTGATTATTCCATTTACTAATGCAGTGAATGTAGTCATCACTCTAGGACCTTTTAACATTTAATCTCATTTATATGTGTTGTTAAGCGAACTCCCTTAAGTATTCAAAACTCTATCATTAATTCAAAATAGTTAACATATACCACTTTGATTTTAAGGATTTTGTAGAAATAACTTATGTAAAAGTATTCTGTAAACTCTCAATTAAATACACAAATATGGCATTATTATTATTAAATTATAAAGTCAGAAGTGTTACCATATTGAAATGATTCATCAAAGAACAGACTACATGACTTTGCTCATAAATGCTTTAATAATTGATTAGTTGTTAACATGGTTACTTTTTTTTTTTAAAGTACTTTTTCTGCCTTGAATTAGATGGGATTTGGAGAAAATCAAATTTAAGTGAATTAAAATCCTCAGAATAATTTACACATTGCTGAAGCTAATAATAGCCTGCCTTAAGCACCAAGAAGCATTGTAAGCAAGCTTCAATTTAGGCTTCAGAAGACAGCCTCGTGATAAACCTTGTGTCCTAGCCTTACGACAAAGACCCTATGGAGAACAAGGATTTTGAAGTGTGCAGTGAGCCATAAATCCTTGGGGTCAGTTTTCAATCTAGTGGGATAAGAGATAAATCAATTTGTTTATAACTAATTAAAGCTGATGAATGTCTTAACTGCTAAAATAATTTGAGGCAGTCGCATCTTACAGAAAGCAATCTCCCTGCAAGATGACAAGCCTAAGCAAGCCTTACATGTGAAGACTAATTCTAAATAGGTAAGGTTTAATGAGATACTAAAATTCAGAAGAGCAGAGTATCAATGAGAATAAATTGATAATAGCTAAATTAAAGCTTAAAAATATACAGTGTATATTCCGTGTTCATAGGGGATTTGTTCTAGAGATGCAAAGAAATGGAAAATCCTTAAAAAGTGTACAAAGATTGATGATAATAGAGATTTATTTGTAAAAAAAGAGTTTGTTATTGTCACAAAACCCATCAGAAGCTGATGACATTTCTCTCCACAGTTTTCCTGATATTTCTTAAGGTTTTAAATTAAATATATTTAATTCAAATGTATTAATCATTCTTAAGACCTTGAAGGATCTTATCATCTCTCCCCGTAAGATTTTTAATAGATAACTGCTTCAATTTAAAATTCTTAAACTCAAAATCTGAATTTTATTCATTTTGCCTAACTTCTGGGACAATTATAAAAGCTAACAGACCAAAACATGAAAAAAACTATAAATGGAAATATAATGAAAAAATCTTAGCCAAAACCTGGTGTAAGCATTACCCAGATTAAAAAATAGAATATTATCAGCAGTGTCAAATCTCCTTGGGACTTTAAACCTATCAGTTATATGCTTCTCCCACTACTCTAGTGGTAACTGCTAACCTGATTTATGGTCATTATTCTTAGCCTTTCTTTATAGAACTACTCTCTATGTGTACATCTGAATATAACAGAGTTTAGATTTCAATGTTTTCAACTTTATTTAAATGTAAACATATTGAGGTATTTTGGTGTTTAGCTCAGTATATTTAAAATTTTTTCATTTTATTGATTATAGCCATAGTCATTGTCATTGCTATATACAATTCACTGAATGAATAAATAATTATTTACATATTTATTTTGCAACTGATAGACATTTGAGCTGTCACTAATTTTGGACTATTCTCAAAATTTCTGCTATAAACATATTTCTGTTTCTATTATTGCATGAAAGGAAAGTACTTACCTAAGTCTGCCCAAATTTTTGATTGGGTTGTTTTTATTTTTCTTACTGATTTGTAGTTTTTTTCTCTATATTAAGATGAGTCATTTTTTTGTCAATTATATATACATAGCAAATATTTTCTCCAATTTTGTGGCTGTATTTTCAATTTTGCTACTCTGTCTTCTGATAAATAGCATAATTAATTCCAATGCAATGAAATGTCTGTCTTTTCTTTTATGGTTAGTGCTTTCTTGTGTATTTTCCTTGAATAAGGTTATAAAGCTATTCTCCCATATTTCCTTAAAGTTTTAAAGATTTCCATTCTACATTTAAGTCAGTGGTTAACCTGGAATTAGCTTTCATATGTAGCACTATATAGGAATCTAATTTATTTTTTTCCACTGGCTACCCAATGGTACCCGTGGCATTTATTGAAAAGATCAATCCTTACCCACTGCTCTGTTGTATCATCTTTGTTTTATTTCAAAGATCTATATATCTGTAGGTCAGTTTCGGAGCTCACTGTTCTTTTCTATTGATCTATGTGGTGGCAATATGACTATCACTTGGTTTGTTTATCTTGCGCCAATTTGACAGTTTTAATTACTATATCTCTGTTAATGGGGATTTAGAAATGGTAGAGTATATTATCCCTTCCTGTTTTTCTTCATTAAAAAATTTTTCTTGGTTTTGTGCATTTTCAGACAAAATTATAATAAGCTCCTTACATTCCCCATACTGGATTGCACAGTCAATTAACATGGTATGTTTTTCCATATTTCAAATTTTCTTTAACTTTTCAACAAAGTTTTATAATTATTCTCATATATATAAGGCATATCTTTCATTATAATTATTTAGAGGTACTTTTTTATGTTTCTGTAAATGGCATATTGTTATATTTTCTTTTTTAATTATTTGTTGCATCAATAGAAATACAATTGATTTCATAAATTTTATATCCAGAAACCTTGATAAACTCTTTAATTCTATTTTTTTTTTTTTTTGGTAAATTCTCATGGATGCTCTACTTAAATAATCTTATTGAAGTAGCATCATTTGTTTGGGGAAATAACTGAGGTTCACTGTCTCGTGCTAAGGATATTGAAGATGTAGACACACAAGGAGTTGTGTTAAAAGTAGAAAGTTTAATAGTCAAAAGAAAGAAGAGAAAATCTTCCCCATGGAGAGGAAGAAGGTTTCCAAAATAATCTTCCTTTTCACGGCAGGAGGCACCTGGCTTTATAGGGGGGCTTGAGGAAGTGGTGTCTGATTTACATAGGACATAGTGGATTGGTTGGACCAGATGTGACGTTTACATAGCTCACAAAGAGGCTGCCCATCCCTCCCTAATTTTTTATTATGCAAATGGATCGTTATCTGGCTGGCACCATGTTACCTGCACACGTGTCGAAAAAGAAAAGGGAAGAGAAAACCTCCGTGTTGAATATACCTGGCTTCCAGGTACCCCTTTTCTATTGGTACAGCTGCAGGCATTTACCTATGCAAGCTTGTATGTCTATGCTTGCGGCTAGATTTTTTAGGCTGCCCTAGAAAAAGAGATTTTGGGGCCGCTTTTTATTAAAAGGAAATTCCAACAAGAAATCTTTTACGCTTACTAACTGCCTAAGTAATTTCTTTTTAACTTCTATATCAATGTCATATATCATCCACAAATAATATCAATTTTGACTTTTTCTTTCCACTTCTTATTATATTCATTTTTCATGTTTTACAGCATTAGCTAGGATATTTTGTACAATGTTTTATAAAAGTAGGATTGTTAGGCAAGATTGTCTTGTTTTCATTCTCAAAAAATGCTAATATTTTACTATTATTCATGATGATTTTAGTTTTTGAAGCCCTATAGTTTTTGAAGCTGCTCTATTAGATTAGGAAAATCCTCTTACTGTTTTAGTTTTCTAAGCATTTTCATCAACAATAAGTATTGAATGTGCAGAAGTAGTTTTTCCTGCTTCAGTGAAGTATATATATTTTCTCTTTATTTTTCTATGTAATAAATTATGTCTATTGATTTTCTAGTGTAAAACCAACTTCACGTTGATAATATAATCCCAATTTGGTAAAAGTATCATTTTAAATGTTTTGCTGGCTTTTTAGAAATCATTTTTTTGTAATGGGATTGGTCTATAGCATTTATCTCTTATAATATTCTTGTCAGGTTTTGGTTTCAACAATTAGCTAACTTTATAACAAAAGTTGGAAAATAAAATCTCTATTTTTATTCTCTAGAAGAGCTTATCTGAAAATGAATTTATTATTTGAATGTTTTGTATAACTTCCTTATATCACCAACTGGGCTGGAAATTTTTTATGTCAGAAGATTATTAATTGCTGAGTCAATTTATTTAACAATTTAAGGCCTACAAAAGTTTCGTATTTCTGCTTGAGTCAGTTTTGATAGACTATAGTTTTTAGAAATTTATTCACTTTACATAAATTTTCAAAATTATTGGCATAAGACTTTTAATAATATCCACTTATTATGCTTCTATTTTAGCAGAATCTGCAGTTGTATTTCCTTTTTCATTTCTATTCACTTGTTTCTGCTCTCTTTGGATTAGTATTAGCAGAGGCTTAGTAACCTTATCATTACACATGGATATTCTTTGCATTATGTATTTCTTTTCCATTTCATTCACTTTTGCTTTTATTTTTATTATTTTCACCAATCTGCTTTTTTATTTTTTATTTTTAAGACAGGGTTTTGCTCTGTCACTCAGCCTGGTGTGCAGTGGCATGATCATGACTCATTGCAGCCTTAACCTCTGGGGCTCAAGCAATCTTCCCACCTCAGCCTCCTGAGTAGCTGGGACTACAGGTGTGTCCTACCATACCTGGCTTACTTTCGTATTTTGTAGAGACAGGATTTTGCCGTATTGTCCAAGCTGGGAAAGACACAGATATTTTATTTTTCTAATTATAATTTTGATTTATAGTATAATTATGTTCAACTCAGAGAAAATACATATTCAGAATTTTAGTTATTTTCAAAGGAAATGTTAGTGTAAGATATCAAGCACAATAAGTGAATACTAAAGTTTTAACCAGGAATCTAGATATGTGAAATTACAAAAAGATGGGACAAATAACCATATGTAGATTTTCAAGTAAAATATCTATAACTTGTTCAATAAACCATTGAAACCCTTTACCTACTCCATTACATAAAAAAACATCAAAGTATGTGTGTTGAGAGAGAGAGATAATTATTTGAGAAAAGGTTTTCTTTGGAGAATATTATCTTTTGAATCCCATTCCTACTTCCTCCATCACCAAGGAGAAGGGCTTGTCAGCTCCCTCAATTCAAATCTACTTTAATATATGATCCATACAGTCGGAAAGCATAATGGCCTAGGAGCTGACTCATGCTTGGGAAATCCAGAGAATTATAGATAGCTGATAGCTGCCCAACTGCCTTGGTGTAGGACCGGAAGAGTTGTTAATCATGTTGAAAATAAGCCTGTACTGCTGGAGGTTGTCAGGGAAAGAGGTATTGGACTGTTTCCTGTGGACCAAATAAAAGAGAGAGAGAATGAAAAAGTGTGGCATACAGTTATCCTGACTTCCATTCCTTAGGGACACCTGGAGAACTGGGAACATGAAGAAGCTCTAGGTTAACAAGGATGACCCGTGCTTTGGAAGGGGTAACCAGTGAGCTACCAGAATAGGGATCCATCCACCTGAGCCAAGAAACTAGAGAGGAGAGAGGCTCAAAAGCACACTTTTGAGGAAGCCTTGAAAGCATACCATTCAGCAGCTGGGCTTTAACTGTCTCCCAGACTCTGGGCACAGCTTACAGTGCCACATCAAGTAATGTCTTTCATTCATCCTCTCACTCCTCCCTTACTCTGCTCCCAGTACAGTTGGTCAGAAAGGAGCTTGAGAGGGAACAGGGAAGCAGAAAAATAGAGAACCTCTAAAAAAGTCACTTTGTAGAACCCTACTCCACACTGGCATGACCAACAAGAGAGAAATTTCAATTATAATTTTGGATTATACATTATAATTTCTAATTGATACACTCTGAAAATTTAATTGTCTAC